TCTAAGAATATCTGCTCCAAAAGCCACTTTTGCTGCTACAAAACACTGTTTTGGCTGCTCCGAAAGGTGCTCCAAAATGGTTTAGGCCAATCACATCACTGCTGAAGGCATGCTAAGAATAAAGTTGTAAGCTAATGTGTCAGCTTTCACCTTATCCTGGTTCTCTGCCTCCGAGCCGGTGACATTTTCAAAAATAACTTGGTGCACTAGTGCAATTAATATATAATGTAACCTTCATACGCATATTGTGAAGGGATGTGCAACACTATGGTTATGTTGTACAATGTCCCATGTGTCTGTCCTTTTTATCCTAACAGGCACAAGACCAACGAGGTGGCAAAGGTGACAGCCGAACTTGATAGCACCATGACCAAGCTCGGGTGCTGCCAGAGAGAGAAGCAGTCCCTACAGGAGACGGTGTCTCAACTCACCGGGAACTATGCAGGGCTACGAGCGGAACACTCGGCGATGCAGGTTTGAGATCTCCATTTTCTGCCTGTTGGTTTTGTTGCAGGGTGCCAGAGGCGTTCTGCCTCGGAAATGTACTAATGCAGAGAAATGCCCCTGGAGGTTTCATTTCTGCAATAGCCTACTCGACAAAGGGGATTCATCACGCACCCAAATGCCCTTCTTTGCTTCACCGATTCTAGCTAAGGGGGGACATGGGTCAAATTGAATGGCAAATTCCTTAAAAATTGTTTTTTGTAAATGGTGTTTTTAAAGTTTACTGCAGTTTTAGCAAGTTTCTATTTTTGTGGATCAATATTAGTGTTATAATAATTTTTAACATCTATGCAGGCTGAATTTGCATTGAAGTTTATGCTAATATGCCATTTTCTCAAAGCACAAATTTTGGGCTCTTTGCAGATTTGCGGGAGGTATATCTCAGCATCTAGGACAGATAGAAATAAAATATATTTTTGCAATATGTTGCTAAGTACGTGAGGCATACAATGTTGAGAGCAGATTTATTACTACAAGCCTAGGAAATTTTTCAACTCATTGTTTTATTTCTTAGTTGCAACACACTGAACACTGACCTTCAATATGTTTAAAAATTACTAATAATGGTTAAATCTCTAAAGTAATTCTAACATTGTATTCTTTATACTTTGTAGTGTCTAGCCTTGCATTAAACATAATTTTTTCTTCAGTGAATGTTTTTCTGTTTCTGAAAGCAAACGAGAGTTTTATTTGTGGACTGTACTGCTGACCGAGAAACTGACCAGATGTCTGCAATCGACAAGAAAACCTGAACAAGCTTGTGCACTTTCATTCAGTTCCATCAAACAAAAAGGATGAAAGCTCCAAGGCCAGTGTTAATTTTTAAGGGCAATTAATTTAGCATGACTGAGCTGTCGTCTTCCTAGTGGATTTTTTTTTCATTAACCAATATTTGCGAGGTTCTGAATTGTAATTGTAAGAATATTAAGGTAAGAGAGTACATTTATTTGTGTGTACCCAAGCATCACACATCGTCCTCAGGTTGTCCCTTACAGGGATGTCCTGTGGATGTGTATAGGATCTGTGCTGCTAGCTTATGTTACTCCAAATCATTTGGAGCTCCCTCAATAGGATAGGTTTTCGAATCTCCTGTTCTAGGACATCTCCAAGGTGTGTGTTATCTGAATCTTGCAATGAATCTCATTCCTTGTCTAGGGCAAATGTTAATTATGTGACTATACTTCGTTTCAGCTTCCGTCCGAGCGCAGCCAAAGCTACGTGCGGCCGGAACCAATCACATGCCGGCAATAGGTCATGCGATCTCGCCTGCACTTTTGTATCACTCCGCTGCGCCGCCGGTCGGCCGCGCGGCCCGCGCTCGCCGAGTATTTCGTCTGCTACGGGTGTATCAACGATATCGTCTGCTACAGCTTTAAAAAGTGTCCTTTAACGTTCTGAAACTTAGTCACAGGGGATGTCAGTACGTAGGCTGGCTGCTGGCATCTGTGTCGGAGCTTTCCACCTGTTCGGCATAGTTTCGAGTTGTAAGTACACGTTGCAAGGTCCCCGATGACCCGGCTGTTGATGTTTCCTTGTATTGTTTGGATATACCAGGGCTCGAGGCGCAGTCCTTTCCACCAGCTTCTCGGCGTTCAATGTGATCGGCAGGTAAAGGGGTGCCCTGATTTTGCCGCGTATCTGAATTGCAGTGGCCCGGACGTTTTGCTTGTTTACAACGCATCGGTACGACGCGGCCGGAGTCTCCTGCCGAATTTGAAAGTAGACATTCATCACGACTTCTCGCGCCTGATGCCCAAAGGTGCCTTTGCGAAAGGACGTTTTGAAGCGACTCGGTGAGGAAAGCAGCGAAGCACATGATTCGGCGATTACGGGAACGAAATCACACAGAAAAACCGAGCGCTGCAGCCGTGTTGCCAGCGGATATACATGTTTTCACCAAACCACATGCATTTACATATATTAATAGACATATAAACTTCAAAGATTTGATTCCTTTAGTTGCAAATCATTCTCAGCAGTACACATCTGGAACATTGTGCAGTTTTTACGCACAAAGCAGTTATTTTAAAAGAAATTACTTTTGTGAACTACTTTGTGGTGCGTAGGAATGCTCTTCTCGAAGTTGCGAACCGTCCCTCAGCCTTTGGCTGCGCTCGGACAGAAGCTGAAACGAAGTATAGAGCTTCGGTTTTGCCTTGACTTTGCTGCACATTAAAGATGTACAAAAGATTTTTTCTTCGTGAAAAAGGGACACCAAAGGTGCACCTTTAGGTGCAACGTACATAACATTGCCATCGGACTCACTTGCAATACTTTTCGTTTACGCTGTTTTAAGTAGCCTCTGTTTAATTTGCAAGGCCCTCATAACATTGTCGCAATCAAGGATTGGATGCTTTTGATGCCCTCGGGACGCTTTTGTTGATGCTTTTCTACGTTAGCTACCTCCACGGGTGCTATAGATTTGTTTAATTCCTTCTGTGCGTGCTGTGGCTTTGCGGTGGTGCAGCTTCTGTGCTGATGAGATTCATCTGCTTGCAGCTGCTGCTTCAAAACGAGCAAGAGAAGTGTTTGCGGCTTGCAGAGTCTCTCCGCCAGAGCCAGGAACGGGAGGCAGAAAAGGACCAGCAGCTGCAGGACGCAGAGATGATGCGTCGTGACCTGCATAACACGCTTCAAGAGTTGAAGGTGGGTTGCACTACGGCTCGATAACTTCCTGCGCTATGCAGTTAGGGTTTTTTGCCGAGACGAAGCTTCCTGGTTCGTGCTCGATTGTGCAGATGTTGATTATCACAACGGATCCACTGCATTAAGTACCATAAATTTTGCATCCACTATGACGTGCCTTCCTAAGAACAGTGGGTGCACATCGATGAGGCAAGCAAACTGGATAGGATGAAACCACTATAGCGAGGATTCTCACACTGGGTTTCTAGGAGCCCAGGGTTTCACAGGTTCCAAAATTTCCTTGGCCACAAGTATAGTTTCAGCGCTATATCAGAAATTCTGAGCCATTCATGGATGCAAAATGAAACACGCCCTATTTTATGTCCAAGGTTTTCAGAAACCGACCTTATACATAAAAGGGGTTCTTGGGCTCTTAAAAATAGGTTCTTTTTCTCTTGGGTGATGCTTATACTGGTATTGTCATTTGAGGTGCTGATGTAGTGAAAGTTTACCGAAGAAGTGACTTCCTTAATTGGGTGGTTCTCTGCTAGGAAACGTTCGTGCCTCGCCACAGATTATGCTTTCAGGTAACTTTGATGAAGAGTGTTCACTATTGCAAGTTGCTCGAGAACTGCTGAATCTTTGTTTTTGAAAACTGAAAGCTGCTGTCTCGTGAATGTCGGTCTGCTAACCTGTTGCGCAGTTTGCGTGCCAGGGCTGTTTCTTGTAAAAGGGAGAAGCATAGCCTTGTGCACAATCTAAGAATTAGCAATATGTCTAATAATTTGTTTATTTCCATCTACGTTGACGGTGGAGCTCGAGGGGAAAAGCTGTGAAATACAGCTTGACAAGACACTCGAACCCGTACATAGGCACAACAGCAGAGGTGCAGGAAAAAAAAAAGTGCTACTTCATGCAAAAGTACAAAACGGGTGGGTAATATACGCACACAACAAACAAATAAAAAAGATTGAATAATCCTGGAAACATTAAACAAACTGCCAGATCACTGGCATTCGTCATGGCATACACCGACCATTGTTTCATATTGGAGTCTTGCGTTTCCCCTCAGGGAAACATCCGCGTGTTCTGCCGGGTGCGGCCAATGCTTCCCTCGGAGGAAAGGGAGGGCGAGCGTCCGAGCCACATCTCGTTCCCAGACGAGAAGACTGTGGAGCTGGTTAAGCCAGACACGGAGGTGAGTGCACCACTGGCAGTCTTTAGAATACACAATTATTAATGTGGACAGTCTACCAGTTGTAAGATGCAAAATTTTTATGCTATCATGTTAACTAGATAAAGAAAAGTTGTGCCCTAATCTTGCATTGAGATCATGGCACAAATACACGAAATAGTGGCAGTGTCTGCTGCTGACAATGACTCCCTTGTTTCGTTTAAAACTTTTACAAATTTTTTTTCCAACTCAACCTGAGTTGCATCTCGATGTAGAACTCCTGCACCTTGTTGTCTTTCTTCCGTGCTGTCTCTGATTAAACGAAGCCAGTTTTTTCATAAAATCGCAAAGTATCCTATTTGCGTGACCGACCAGTTGCGTTCCTTTCTATAAGCAGAAGGTGATGGCGTTCCCCTTCGACCGGGTCTTCCCGGGCTCCGCGACCCAAGCGGAGGTCTACGAGGAGGTGGCACACGTCGTACAGTCTGCGCTGGACGGCTACAACGTGTGCATCTTCGCCTACGGCCAGACGGGATCCGGGAAGACCTTCACTATGGAGGGTCCGCCAGACCTGGACCTGGGCTGCCCAAACGACTCGCAGCTGGGGCTGATCCCCAGGGCCCTCCAGCAGGTGTTCATGTCGGCACAGGAGCTCCAAAACACCCATCAGTGGGAGGTGGGTACTTCTACGTGCGTAGCATTTGTAGGGCCAGCTTTTCGGGGTTTTCGTGTCCGTGGCACGTAACCTCTACGTTGACGTCACGGTGTTCGTAACAGCTGGTGTCTGACAGTGTTGCTGTAGCTATCAAGAGTCCCAAGAGAAGCTTTGATGGGGCAGTAGTGCACTTGGATCCAATAACCGCCGATCAAAGTGTGGTAAAGCCCATGTGCCATAATTAAGCATCTTAAACCTAGGGCAGTGAGTGTAACTCTCCACTGAAAATCAAAGCACAGCCAAACAACCATCTACTCTTTACATCCATACTGTCCGCAATCAGCGGCACTGTTCTGAGCATCAAATCTGACAAGGGTTCCTCGCGTGTGTCTTCTAGTTCACAATGGTGGTGTCATACCTGGAGATCTACAACGAGAATGTGCGAGACCTCCTGTCGACGCGCCCCCGGAGCAAGCAGACCGCCTGCCAGATCAAGCAGGAGAAGGACGGCTCGATGATGGTGACCAACGCCACCAAAACAACTGTCACTTCTCCCGAGCAGGCAAGTGTGGCCCTTGTTTGACCAAGGTCACCGATGAAATTTGGGTTTGACAGCGATAGCTGTTATGGACTCTTCCCGCCACTGGGAATGACATCTGTTACGTTGTAGTTAATGTAGTAGTTGGCGTAGTAGGGTGTCCGTCGATCCTGCCAAATTCTTAAAAGAGGTTGCCCGCCGCATGCAGGAATCGAACCTAGGTTCGCTGTGTGCAAAGCTTGGGCATTACCATTGAGCTACGTCATAGCATTAACAACCCGCTTTATACTTGTGGTTTATGTTGTACTGTAATGAACGGCCGTCCTGGAGACCCTCAGGTGTCCAAGCCCATAGACAAGCATCCGCGGCAGAACGAAGGGGCTAATGAGCGACCTTCCAAAAAGCAAGCAGACGTGGGAAGATGTCCAGGTATTTCGACATTGAAACCCATAGGGCTCCAAGGTGCCGATGGACGACAGTCTGCGGCGAGACGAAAGAACAAACAAGTGGCTTCCCTCGAAGCCAACAGACATCGGAGGTGGTCGACATACCTTTTCCCGTACTTCCCAGGCTGACCCCCTCATGCCGAGTGCCCCGCACCCAATTACCTTCCCGTCGGAAGAGGAGGCAGTGGCACTAGTGTTGTGGGCTTCGCACCGACCCCTCGGGGTACAAGGAGAGACGTCCTTGAGACGGCTGGTCTGCATGGGGTTGGTGGCGTGTGTGGGGGAGGAGCCAACTTAGCTACCCAGAATTCCTCTGTGCGGAATGTAGGGAAGAGTCCCGTTAAAAGAAGCGGATTTCTTCGGGACTTTTCGTCTTCAGATTCTGTATTTCTGTCCTCTACAAATGTAAACCTGTTGTCAAAAGCGGCCCTGCTTGGAAGCTCCTTCTGCCCGATGCCCTGGTCGGCACTTGGCTCCACCAAAACCCAACAAGGATAACCCCAGAGCTGTTATGTTACCCAATGTCCACTGCTCGCGCTCTCTGGAAAAAATGCGAAGAAATGGCCTATAACAGAATGTCGTATCACTGTCAGCGCCAAAAGCTTGTGCCGGGAGATGGGGTTTCTCATGCTCCTGAACAAAACGGAACAAAATGGTCACTTCTATTCCGTTTCGAATGCTTTTGTTTGAACGCGATGCCGATGCCCACTGACTTTGCCGTGACGTGTCTCGCCTGTCACTGTGACTGTACTTTGGATTAACGCGGGACTGCTCAATTTCTTGGTGGTCTTGAGGGAAACTTTGCGAATTTAATTTCGATATAGGCTCTAGCTTTATTTCCTGTGAAGCTTAGTCAAAGTTGCGCTGCTCATGCACCATGCAAAAGACTGTGATCACTGCAGACACAATGACAGAATTATTATCGTGCAGACATGCCTCAAGCATGTTCAAAGCACGTTTCTCGTACGTATGTATGCTTCAACGTGTCTGCAGACAGTATTTCATACAATGTATTAGCAATGCGGCTGCGGCTTGACAACGTCTCTTGGCATGAAGCAGTTCCACAAACAAGGGAGACGACTGGAAGTGTTTGGCTTAGTCATGCATAGCTCACCTAGGCTTCAAAAGTTGTGCTTACTGCTTTACAAGAGAGGTAAGCGGGTAGTTCCATACATGTCAATTCCTTGTTAAGCATAGTGTTCAAAGGTGCAAGAGATTTACTGTATGAACTCTGCTATGGCCGATTGTTTGATTGAGCTTGTGCAATGTCTGCGTAGATCTACGAGCTGCTCCGGCGGGCTCGCAAGCATCGGGCTGTCGGGTCCACCCAGTGCAACGAGCACTCCTCCCGCTCGCACTCGGTCTTCCAGCTCCGCATCACGGGGACTAACCGCCGTACCGGTGTGGGCAGCCGAGGTGGGTGGTCCCCAGTGTGGACACTGTTCAGTATTTTTTGCTGCAGCTTCGCTCCTGGTTAGCTGACTGGTTTGCCTAATGCACGAGACAGTAACACATGTTTTCTACAAGGTTGCACGAAGTTCATTAGTTTACTGGAATACAGAAGTAATTCATTCTTGGCAGAGCAGAATTTCTTTTAAGGCAGTTAAACAAAGTTCAAACTGCCCTAGAAATAAACTGTTAAACAGAGTTTAAGTTTCCTTTCTATTATACAATCTCCATCTTGCAACCATTACTGCTTCTTGAGACTTTTATTCTCTTTGCCCACTGTACACGTCCGTCCTGTTTGTGGCACCCATCTAACCAGTTCCTGACGACCTCTTTTTCATTGTGCAGTATACTTCCTTGCACTGCAATTCAATTGTTTTCCAATAAAGTGCCACATATTAGGTGAAATAGTTGCTGAAGTTTGGGGCCTGCTGATGTCCGCTGCCACATAGCAATAATCTCCAATGCTGGTATGTGTATTTGCAGGCCTGCTGAACCTGGTGGACCTGTGTGGCAGCGATCGGCTAGACGAGTCCAAGGCAGAGGGTGCCAGGCTCCGGGAGACTCAGCACATCAACCGCTCCCTCTCGAACCTGGGCAACGTCATCCTGGCACTCTCCCAGAAGGTCTGCAATTTGTCTTCTATAAGCAACCTCCTTTCCGAATATGAGTTGGCTGCAGAAAGGCAACGCCTTCGAGAAAATATCTACAAGAAAATGGGCACATTCAGTCTGCTTCTCAAGGGTTTTCCTGTGCTCTCAGTGCAGTTGGGATGCGAACATCGCACATAGGAACATGCTACTATAGGTTAGTCTGTTGCAATGTAAGGTTAACGGGAGCCTCTCCCGCCAGGCTCTTCCCCAGGATTGGCAGTTTTCTCATCTCGGCATTCGCTCTGCTAATGTGGAAAGACTACTTTCATTTGGTTACTGTATTGTGAAACAAACTATTACTAAATTGAAATGGAAGTGGCATCGGGGGAGCACCAGGGGGAAGCAAATTCTTTAAGTAGACGTGGGTGCTTGGAGTGTAGTTGAGGAGCAGCCTTCTAGATGTTCCTGTCCGTTTAGTGACTAAAGCGCAAAGCTTGTGCACTCCGGGGCATGGACTCTCACTTAGTGACGGGTTGCTCCGGACTGTAACTTATTCTCAGGGGTGGAACGGCTGCGACATTTGCGCCATTTTGCGCCAGACGCGTGCAACATGCAACGTGTTTCTGCAACATGGCGCCATCCTGCGCCATGTTGCAGAAACTGCGCCACAGCCAATACCTCGCGCCATTATGCGCCAAATCGCAAAACGTGCGCCAAAAAACTTTTTATTTTGTCTTAGTTTCGGTTTTTATCGACTTGATTGGCAACAATGAGAGCGTTTAGCCTGGTCGGCCTTGCGATCCTTTGTTGTGTTTATTCCCCCTGTCTATCCCAAGTCGGAAGCGCGCGAAAAAAAAAAAAAAAAAACTCGGATTCTAAGCGCTACACCACCTGCGACTGGATTGTTATTCTTCAACCATAAGCGGTAGGGCAAGTCGGCCGAGGTGAGGTCGAGTCGTTAAGCATCAGATTGCATGAGGCTTTGCGGCCCGGGATCCGGACGTCATCCAGTCGAAAGCAAATGAGCGAAAGATTCCTTTTAGTACTTCATCCTTAGGAGTTGGAACCGCATTCTCGCAGATAAATCGTGATTTGATAGAACTGAAACGCGGTCCGATCCGAAACCTTGCCGGCCAGCAGCTCTTACCTTGCCGGCCAGCAGCTCTACTTATCTGCTCGGCGTACTTTAACCTTGCTCCTGCTTCTCGCTTCAAATACGATAACTTCGTTAATCGTAGCCTGCTGCTTCGATATCGAGTTGCACAATAGGATAAACTCAAAATTTGTTGCCCTGCTCCTCCGTGCAACTGGACGTCCGTTGTTTACGCACGTCACGTGGTTCGCACATATAATTACTATGTCAATCACGGGTGGGTTGTGCGATAAGCAGTGCTGGTTTGCATCTTGAGCATCTGAAAGCCACTCAGAAAATATCAAGGACGCTATCTTCAGAAACATAGAGTACTTGCTTTTTGATTCCCATTAAGGCTCGCAAAGTTTCAAGTTTTCGCATCTATTACACTGTTATCCCATCTACATGGGTCCCTAACCACTGATGTTCATCTCTGCTCCTAAGCACAATTGAAATTGCTCCCGTGCTTGTCTAAGACACAAGCTGAAGTGCAATGCAAACTGATCTGAGCTGCTCCTAGCCTGCTCCAGAATGTAGTTTTAGCTGCTCCCAACCTGCTCTAAAACAGCTGTTTCAGCTGCTCCCGTGGCTGCTCCCAAGTACATTTCATGAGTTCCACCCCTGTATTCTTTCAATTGAACTGGAATGTAAGTGGTGGTAGAATCATTGTTTTGAGCAATGGTCATTCCTCTTCTTTGGCAACTACAGGCGGAACATGTGCCATACCGCAACTCCAAGTTGACCTTCCTCCTGATGGACAGCCTGGGAGGGAACAGCAAGACCCTCATGCTGCTCAACGTCTCTCCCCGTGAGAAGAACCTGGCAGAGACGATCAACTCGCTGCGCTTTGCCACAACGGTACATACTTCTTTGCGGTTACGTCCCTCTAGGGCAGTGGTTCTCAAACGGGGGTCTGCGAAGCATTCTAGGGGCCACGAAACCCTGCCTTATCAGTAAAGCCTGGCAATAAGTTTTTTATCAGGTTGAGAAGAGACATTCCAATTTTTGGGTAAGTTTTCTAATGTGTATATCAGTGAGAGAAGTATACTTCACATTAGTCCTTAGTTATATCCATTTATAAAATCATTATCGTAATTAACATATACCTTTCCCTACTCCTCACCACGAATGGGGTCCTCCATCATTCCTGCCGATCCACGGGGGTCCGCGAAACATCAATGGTTGAGAACCACTGCTCTATGGTTTCGTAAAGGCATGGCGTGTTGTGTGCCATGTCCTTCAAGATGCAGGTGCCATGGTTGTGCCAAGCTAAAAAGTGGCAAAACAGGTCCTAGTCAGGGGCCAAGACATGCCAAAAATAAAATTGGTACTGCTCAGACTTATTGCAAGCTCCAGTAATCCTGCTAAATTTGTTTTGAAAATGGTGAAATAGTTTCGTGGATAATAAAGCAGTATAGCTATCCGCCCCATTTGAAAAGGCCGCCGTGACTGGTGGGCTGGTGACGTCGCCAGCCAACTGCACGGCGTTTTTTTGCGTGCATTCGCAGGCTTAACTCACTTGGCGTTTCAAGCTTGTTTCCTAATTTACCGTCCGCGTTTTGAGCTTGTGGTCTGCGACAATTGTCCACAGCATCGCTCGCTTCGTCAAAGTTTTCGACACTGACCGCAGCAGCGATGAAAGCGATGTTGGAAGCTGCTCATTTGACTATGACCCGCTGGCGACTGCGAGTCGCGGACGAGCTCGCCGTGGTCGGTGTCGTCCGTGAAAATCTCGCAGGATCATGCAGGGTGGATTGGGGAAGGTCATAGGCCGGGGGCAAGAGCGAGAGTATCGTTGGGGTAGCAGAAGAGCGCAAGCGGTTTTGATCGTATCTTATCGCGGCGAGGCGAGCTTAAGCAATGAGCGTTTTTAATCTTGGGTCTGTGGGCAGTATGGTGACTAACTTGGGCAGTGTTGCCTGGTCGCCAGATGAAAATTATAAAAATTTGTAAATTGATTATTGCAGTTACTAAACCTCTGAAAATCAGAAAACTTGGTGTATATAATAAGTAACCAATAAGCATTTGAAGAATAATCTATCCATTTAATTTTCGTGTCCTAGCCCTTTTAAAGATTTTCAAGCAAGATGTGTCACATTGCAATGGATCATTCAGTCTTCGCCCTTAAAGCCACACGTGCTTGATTGTGCTGCACAGATTGAAAAATGTTCTCTATTCTTTGTACCCCTTGCCCTCCTAATCTTTCATGTCCATAGCTATGACATGGCATATTTTATTAAATGTGTATGGCATTAGTTAGCCTCTACACCTTGAAGAGTTTAGGCACCAGTGTTTAAGGTTTATGCCTACAGCTTGAAAGATGTAGGCATCGGTGTTTATTATAGCTGGGGTACTGGAAAGTAAAAATGGGTAAATCTGCAAGCCTTGTAGAAGATTGTTCCATGTGTTCTTAGTCTTCCTCTTCTGTTTGTAGGTGAACCAGTGCGACATCGGGACAGCACATCGGACTATGCAGGCCTCATCCCATTATTAATGGCCTGCTGCCATTTCATCTTTTTATCTATTTTTGTAAACAGCCGGGTAATGCCCAATGGATCATCTTTTAACTAGCGTTTCAATCTTTTTTTAGTCTAGTGCATGTACATACTGGCAGTTTTTATGTATAGTATATTTTTATGGATTTTATGAAGTGTTACGTACTGTAACCTCATGTACATACTCATTGTGTCGCGATTTTATGAAGTACCGATTTTATTTGACTTCCTGAGATTCTCATTTTTGCAAGGTTGGGCAGACACTTCAAGATGGATGTGTCTACTAGATCTGTTCTTTCAGACACATCCATGTTGGACAGACGGCAGTGCTTTTTGTTTAGTGAGACCTGTAGACATCTGCAGAATCGCTTGCTGCATTGCCATGGGATATTGCCGCGCGCATACTTGCAGAAGGTTCTCGTTTATTCTTGCTGCGAACATAAGTTCTATCGTTTGTCCCTGCTTTTGTTGTTCTAGAAAGTGCGTGTTCATTCTCGCCCCGAGCGCGCTACGCTCGAACCTTCCCCGCCGAATCTTCGAGACAGTGACTCACTCTAGATAAGAGGCCGCCCGCGACCTTGTCGAGTCAGTCTCGCCCCAGCGCTCGATTCTGCTGACACGCCGACTTCGACGCCCGCGACGCTCTGCTTTCTTCTGTTTCCTTCTTTATTTTTGGCACAAGTTCGCCACATTAAACGTTTATTTATTTCTGTTTATTTCTTGTTTATTGGTCACGACTCACCACCCGTGACATTCTGGTGGAGGTGCGGGGTACCGCATGTTCGTGCAGCGCAGCCCTCAGAGTTCCCGCAGTACAAGTCCAAACCCCAGCTCCGGAGGACCCGACGAAGACCAGATCGAGACCCGGTCAAGTCGCCGCATCCGAGGTCTGCCCCCGGAACACGGACTTCTGCCACCCACGACCAAGCCGAAGACGACGATGGCCAACCAGGCGCAGACCCCGGCCGCTTCTGCCGTTGTGTACCTGCCGATCGCACCCAGGACTCCAACGCCTTTCCACGGAGACGTCCACGAGGACGTTGAAGACTGGCTGCAACACTACGAACGTGTAGCCCGCCACAACGGATGGACGACTGAACAATACCTCCACAATCTCTACTTCGCGCTTGAAGGAACTGCGAGGCATTGGTTTGAAAACCACGAAGCGTCCTTCACTACGTGGGAGTCCTGCGCCGCGGAGTTGAAGCGAACGTTCCTCAACCACCACCGTCGGCAGCGAGCGGAGGACCTTCTCCAAACAAGGGTGCAGGGCCCCAACGAAAGCGTGACCAGCTTCGTAGAGGATGTCATGCGCCTATGTGCCCGAGCCGATCCGGAGGCAGCCGATGAGAAGAAGCTCCGCGTCCTCATGCGTGGCGTGAAGGCTGAAATTTTTGGGGGCCTTGTCCGCCATCCCCCGACAACCGTCGACGGTTTTGTGGCTGAAGCCACTAACATCGAGCGAGCGCTGTCGGCCCGAGCAAGCCATTACCATCGACTCGCCGGCGTGCCTGCTCCTCGAACCGCCGCATCTTGCCGACTAGACCTGAACGCCACCGGTGTCGACGGCCTTCGGGAAATCGTCCGCGACATCGTCCGGGAGGAGCTCCGGAAGCTGCTGCCTGCTGCCAACCAGCCGGCTGAGCTGTCGATCGCCGAAGTGGTGCGCGAAGAAGTCCAGCGGGCAATTCAACCGGAGGCTCCTGCCTGCATAGCACCACCCGAAGAGCCCGCCCTGACCTACGCCGCAGTGGCCCGACGGCCACCGCCTCCTCGCCGCACCTATGTCACGCCGCCCCGACGTCAGTCTCCTGCGCCGCAGCACGACAGACGCCACGACGACCAGGTCCAGTACGCCTGCCCGGAGCCTCGCGCACCCCGCAAGACCGACCTGTGGCGAACGCCCGACCGACGCCCTCTGTGCTTCCATTGCGGGGAAGCGGACCACACCTACCGCCGATGCCCATACCGACAACTCGGGCTGCGCGGATTCCACCCAAACGACCCGCGCCCCCGGTATGGTGAACGCCCTCGGGAGATCGACGAGTACCTGCAACGACCTCAGTCCCCCGAGCCTGCGTCCCGCCGAGAGTTCCGATCGCCGTCGCCGCGACGTCCAGCTTCGCCGATGCACCGACCCCGACGTGAAAGCCTGTCACCCCTCGCTCCTCGCCGGGGAAACTAGGCGTGGCAACCCCTGGAGGTGGAGTTGCCGAAGACGACCGACGCCAAGATCCTCCACGAACGTCGGAGGGCCCCCACTCAAACACCACCAGAGACCAAAGCGACGCTCCTGCAACGGTGAAGAATAACCTAAACGTCGTTATCGACGGCCATGACGCGTCGGCCCTCGTCGACACCGGAGCAGACTACTCCGTCCTGAGTGGGAGGCTCTCCCAACGCCTTCGGAAAGTGACGACGCCGTGGGATGGCCCACAAATACGTACCGCCGGCGGGCACCTCATCACACCAGTCGGGATTTGCACTGCTCGCGTCGAGATCCACGGTGAGACGTGCCCTGTCAAGTTCGTCGTTCTGCAAGACTGCTCGAGAGACGTTATTCTAGGAATGGATTTTCTTTGCGAGTATGGCGCCGTCATCGCCCTCGGAGAAAACCGGTTGACGCTACGAAAACCTGCTCCAGCGCTGGAGGAAACCAAAGCGACGTCATCCGCAGTCCGAGTCCTCGCAAATCACGTGAACTTACCGCCGCGGTCCAGTGTTTTCGTACCCATCGGGATCGCCGGGCCTTTCTGCGGCGACGTTCTGCTCGAGGGAAGCCTCCAGTTGCTTCTGGGAAGAGGGATCGGCGTCGCAAGAGGCATCGCGGAGCTCCAAGACGGACGCACTGTTGCACTCGTAACAAACTTTCGACAGGAGGCTCAGCACCTCACGAAAGGCACCGCCGTGGGTCACGCCGAGGAGCTCGTGGACTCAGCCACAATCGCCGGAATAGCAGAAGACATCTCTTCGGGGTCACACGAGACAACACCGCATTCGCAGTTTGACATCGATCCAGTCCTGCCTACCCCACAACGACGACAACTCAGTGACCTTCTCGCCGAGTTCAGTGGGTGCTTCTCCACGTCGTCAAAGGTGCGCCAAACGACGGTTGCGAAACATCGAATTATTACTGATGACGACGCACTTCCTGCTCATCGGTCACCGTATCGTGTCTCTGTGAAAGAGAGAGAAGTCATCCAGAAGCAGGTTCAAGAAATGCTCGACGACGACATCGTCCAGCCCTCAAACAGTCCGTGGGCTTCACCGGTAGTCCTCGTGAAAAAGGAAGACGGGACTCTTCGGTTCTGCGTGGACTATCGTCGACTAAACGCCGTAACAAAAAAGGACGTCTACCCGCTGCCACGCATCGACGACACCCTGGACCGGCTGCGCCACACCCGATTCTTTTCGTCGATGGACCTGAAGAGTGGGTACTGGCAGATCGAGGTCGACGAACGGGATCGTGAAAAGACTGCCTTCGTCACGCCGGACGGACTGTCCGGCGTGACGACTGCCTTCGTCACGCCGGACAGTCCAGCGCGTAATGGACACCGTTCTTTCCGGCCTGAAATGGAAAAGCTGCCTCGTCTATCTCGACGACGTCGTGGTGTTCGCAAGCGACTTCGACGAGCACCTGAGACGTTTGCGAGTCGTGCTACAGGCTATCCAGGATGCTGGACTGACACTAAAGCCGTCAAAATGTCGGTTCGCTTACGGCGAGCTCAAATTTCTGGGTCATGTCGTGAGTGCTCAGGGTGTAAGCCCTGATCCTGCAAAGACATCCGCTGTTGCTAAATTTCCGAAGCCATCAGACAAGAAAGCCGTCAGAAGATTTCTTGGGCTGTGCGCTTACTACGGACGTTTCGTTCACGATTTTGCCCAGATTTCTGCACCGCTCACGCATCTGACGAAGGACGACGTGAACTTCCAGTGGGGGGAGGAGCAAGAACAAGCGTTCAACGAACTGAAGGAAAGACTCCAGTCACCCCCTATCCTCGGACACTTCGATCCATCAGCGGAAACATAAGTTCACACTGACGCCAGCAACGACGGACTCGGCGCGGTACTCGTCCAGAGGCAAGACGGAGCAGAGAGGGTGATCGCTTACGCAAGCAGGGCACTGTCCAAGACAGAGAAAAATTACTCAACGACTGACAAGGAATGTCTCGCTGTCATCTGGGCGTTAACCAAGTTCCGCCCGTACCTGTACGGGGTCCCGTTCCGCGTTGTCACGGACCACCACGCTCTCTGTTGGCTCGCCAACCTCAAGGACCCGTCAGGACGCCTCGCTCGCTGGAGCCTTCGACTGCAAGAATACGACGTAACAATTGTGCATAAGTCTGGCCGCAAGCACAACGACGCCGACTGTTTGTCTAGAGCCCCAGTCGAATCTCCTACCGAAAGCACTGACGACGATGATGACGCCCGTTTTCTCGGCGCAGTGACAGATGCCGACATGGGAGCACTTCAACGAGACGACCCGGAACTTCGCGCCGTGATCGAACACCTCGAAGGTCAAGGAAGTTCAGTTCCGCGAGTCTTGGCCCGAGACTTGTCAAGCTTCATTCTGCGTCGAGGCGTACTCTTCAAGAAGAACTTCGGAACGAGCAACCCTGCCTGGCTGCTGGTTGTTCCGGCCAGCCTGCGAGAAGAAATCTTTCAAGCATGCCACGACGACCCGACGGCTGGACACCTCGGCTACAGCAGGACGCTCGCCCGGATTCGTGACAAGTACTACTGGCCGAGACTCCCGAAAACAGTCCATCTGTACACACGATCGTGCCATGAGTGCCAACGACGTAAGAGGCCCCCGACGAAGCCAGCAGGACTCCTGCAGCCGATACCCACACCGACTACGCCCTTCCAGCAGGTCGGAATGGACTTGCTTGGGCCGTTTCCAACATCGACGCAAGGAAACCGGTGGATTATTGTCGCGACCGATTACCTTACACGATACGCCGAGACGAAAGCCCTTCCATCGGGAACAGCGGTGGAAGTCGCCAAGTTCTTCGTCGAGTCTATTCTCCTTCGACACGGCGCACCTGAAGTGCTGATCACAGATCGAGGGTCATCTTTCCTGGCACAGCTGACTCAAGAGGTACTTCGGCTCAGTCACACCAGCCATCGACGAACCACCGCTTATCACCCGCAGACCAACGGGCTAACAGAGCGGCTGAACAAGACCATCGCCGACATGGTCTCCATGTACGTCGACGTGGAGCACAAGACGTGGGACGAGGTGTTGCCGTACGTTACATTTGCCTACAACACAGCGGTACAAGAAACCACAGGAATGACGCCGTTCCAACT